TCTGTGAATGGTCATGGTGGACACTGGTGTTTGGGTTGAACGTCTGATGGTTGATAGAGATGAAGAAGGCGCTGTGACAGCTGCTCGGACAATCACTCTGTCCTCACGCTCTGTTGTAGCCCTAGGTCGACCGATACCATCCTGACGCTGAACTCTGCCATTTTCCACCCATCCTTGCCAGCATCTTCGAATCGCCGCATCGCTTCGACTCAAATGACGAGTGATTCTCCGATTTGTCCAACCGGCCTCTTTCAATTCAATGATACGACCTCTGTCAAACTCTGAAAGTTGCTCGTAATGAGAGCGAATCCTGCAGCGAGGCATTTTTTAAGTTGTTGAAAGGTAATCTGCATCACAATCAAATCGAAAGTTTTAACAACTGTTGAAGAAATGCTCCTTATTACGTCTCCTGGATGCGCAGTTCCAATGCGCCAGAGATCAAACTATTCGTTCATTGGACACCAAATTTTAATCATTTGCATATCTGTTCAAAACATTCATGCATACGAAATTTCAAAGCAATCGGGTGATTGCTTCTTGGTGCGTCGATTTTTTTGTTATACAGTGTAGTTATACCTCGTTACCATAGTCACTGGTTCAGACGAATGGCTAGGGGAGTTCTTACTTTAGGCAAACTATACCATATTGACGCGTTATTGTTGGTAAATTCACGGTTCAGCTTAATACTAAAAGATTCATACCTTCAAAAACAATAAGAATTTTAACAACCGTTGAAGAACTGCTCCTTATTACGTCTCCTGGATGCGCAGTTCCAATGCGCCAGAGATCAAACTATTCGTTCATTGGACACCAAATTTTAATCATTTGCATATCTGTTCAAAACATTCATGCATACGAAATTTCAAAGCAATCGGACGATTGCTTCTTGGTGCGTCGATTTTTTTGTTAGAGAGTGTTGTTATACCTCGTTACCATAGTCACTGGTTCAGACGAACGGCTAGGGGAGTTCTTACTTTAGACAAACTATACCATATTGACGCGTTATTGTTGGTAAATTCACGGTTCAGCTTAATACTAAAAGATTCATAGCTTCAAAAACAATAAGGATTTAATCCAATATTAGCACTCTTCCTTTACGTTTAGATAACTTCTCTCGGAATAGGACAGGCTACTCTCTCTCTCTCTCTCTATGTATATATATATATATATATATATACACGGACGTATATAAGACGTATATGAGTTTTTTTAATATCCATATTTCCAAATATCGCATAGAACTTCTTATAATATACGTCTTGCCTCGAAAAATAATTTTTTAAGAAATATGTAGAAAAAAAATTTCGTTTGCACCTTACAAAAGCTGAAGAATCCCTGGCTTTGCATGTTTCATTGAGCGAAGGAAACGAATGTTTCATCGAGATACCACCCCATCCACTCTGTCCTTCTCCAACCGCGAGCAAAATGGAACGGCTCCCTCCCAAGGAAGGAAGGAAGAAGACGTGCTGATGGTGGTAATTTCGGCATTTCGCCTTGCGCAGACAGATTGAAAGCGGTTCAAAACGAAACTCTTTCCTCGTGTACTTATACTCTACATGTAGATAAGGATAATTGATATTGAATAAATAAAAAGTATTCAAAAATATGAAACGTACTACTCAACAACCCAAGAGATCTCTTGTTTTTTTTCTTTCTAAAAACGAAAGACCCCATGAACTTCCAACAAATGACAGTGGCATTGTTCCTCGTAATGAAAAATCCCAGCAATAAGAAATACCGGAAGAGGATGAATCGACCGATGTTGATAAACCGAAAAAAGGTAGGAATTCTTTATCTCAGTAATCCTCCGGACGATGATGAAGAAAAACTTAAAGCGTTGAAACAGTGTGGGATCCCCCCGGATACTTTCAAGTTTCTAGTCAGCGTCAGTGGCAAAAAAAGACTTTTCAACGTCATTGAACTGCTAGACATTCATGGCTTGCATATTCAATATGCATGCAGGGAGCATTTTGGAAAGTATGCGTTCTTCTTGGAAAAAAGGAAGGTGGTCGTGGCAGTCAAGAACTTGGAGCCTTTGTTAGTAAGCCCTTTATAAATTGGAAGTCCGCTTTAGAAGCCTTTGATCATCATGCAAACGCAAAATATCATAAATTTGCTATCGAGCAGGCAGCAAATTTTGTAAAGGTAGCGGAAGGCAAAGTGGTTGATGTTGCCGAATCAGTCAATGTGGAAAACAGCAAAATTGCTCAAGAAAACAGGAAAAGATTAAAAGCCATCGTAGAAACGATTCTTTTATGCGGAAGACAAGAACTCGCTTTAAGGGGAAGCTGTGACTCTGGTGAAATTGGAAAAAATGACCCCGCTCATAATGATGGAAACTTTAGAGCACTGCTTCGTGCTCGCTCTGGCGATGAGGTACTTAAGAAGCATTTACTAACACAATCAATACACAGTCGAGCCATGTATACCTCATCACAGATTCAAAATGAAATAATTGAACTATCCGGTAAGACAATTCAAGATAAACTCTTAGAAAGGGTAAAAAAGGCAGGCTATTTCAGTGTACTAGCTGATGAAACACAAGATATATCACGACGAGAACAAATAGCTTTGTGTGTGCGATACGTAGACTGTTCATCTGGAAAAGCAGTTATCCGGGAAGATTTTGTTGAATTTATAAGCGTAGAAGATGTTTCTGCTCAAGCATTAGCAACGACCATAATAACACATCTTGTATCCTATAATTTAGATATGTATAAATTTATAGGGCAAGGATATGATGGCGCTGCAGAGATGAGTGGTCGATTACGAGGTGTGAGAACAATAATCGCAGAGCAGTATCCAAAAGCGCAATTCGTGCATTGCGTGGCTCATGTACTGAACTTAGTATTAGTTCATTCATGTGAAGTACCTATGATAAGGAACTGTCTAGGAACTATAAAATCCGTAATCAACTTCTTCCGACAATCTCCACTACGGGATGGTCAATTAAAGAAAATTGCCGATGAAAACAACTTTGAACATTCCACCCTTATCGGTCTTTGTGAAACACGTTGGACAGAAAAACATGTAGCTGTCGAAAGGTTCGCAGAAATGCTACCCGTTGCACGTGCAACGCTTGAGACACTTCAAAGCACTGGTCTTTCAGACGTCGCCACACAAGCTTTTCAGCTGCAGACAGCTGTGGACAATAGCCAATTTATAGTATCTTTGGTCATACTCAGAAAAGTATTTTCGTATTTGATTAAGGTGATGCAGAAGGTGAATGTTGATTTAATAGCCACTTGGAGTTATGCGAAAACTGTCAGTACAACCATAGGAAGCATTAGAAACGAGACACAATTCTCCATACTTTTCGAGGAAGCAAAGAGAATGAGCTCGAACGAAATAGTTGTCCCAAGAATGGCCGCAAGAGCGTCCCAACGCAACAATGTACCTGGAGAAACTGCCGAAATTTACTATCGGCGAAATGTGTTTTATCCGTTTATATACCGTGTGGTAACCGAACTAGGCGCAAAAGATTAAATTTATTACTTTAAGCAATTAACACTTTTCTATACTCTTTGATCATTGTTTTCCTTACAATAAACAAATATTTTACACACCTGTATGATTACTGAAATATTAGTAGCTTATATTACATATATATACACTCCTCAAAAGTGAAATTGCAACACCAAGAAATAATGCACGTAGCGTCATGCGAATTTCAGAAGCGATAGTAGTGAGATGGATATGCAAATGATTAAATTTGCGCACGCATCTGATCACGTGGTACGCATGTTCGGGCTATAAAGGCCAGCAACTTTCCCTTCTCATAAACGGCATCTGAGGTTTTGCGTAGCATTTGCGACTTTCGAAAAATCGTAGAAAATGCCTCTGAGACGTCGGCGAGCTCAATACCATCAGTTAACGACCGGGAAACGTGAACGTATTATTGAACTCCATGAACTTGGTTTGTCGCTGCGCGCAATAGCAACTCGTGTTGGGCACAACGTGAGTACCATCCAACGTTGTGTCACACGATGGATTCAGGAAGGTCTACGTGCACGCCGAAGAGGAAGTGGTGCGCACAGGTGCACGTCAGAGCGCACAGACCGGCGTATTCGCCAGTTGACTATTCGAGACCCTTTCTCCACGGCACGTGCCATCCGAAGCCGGTTGCCTTCAGGAGCAGGTGGATCTGTGTCCACCCAAACCATACGCAACAGATTGCATGAAGTACAGTTACGTGCACGGGTACCAGCAACAGGGGTACCGTTGACCGCTTTACACAGGGCTAGACGCCTGGCGTGGTGTCATCGTCATCGTACCTGGACCATCCAATGGCATCGGGTATTGTTCACGGATGAATCTCGTTTCTGTCTGTGGAGAAATGACGGCCGTCGACGGGTATGGCGGCGACCCGGAGAACGCTACGAACCAGCCCATTACGCCGAGCGTCACAACGGTCCTACACCGGGCATCATGGTTTGGGGTGGCATAATGTTTGATCGCAGAACGCCCCTGGTACACATTCACGGCAGTTTGACAGCGGACCGCTACGTCACACAAGTTGTGTATCCCGTTGTTCTGCCCTTGTTGCAGGGCGCACCCAACACGGTATTCCAGCAAGACAATGCCAGGCCGCATGTCGCACGGCGAACTCTTAACAGCCTGACTGGATNTGGCTTTGCATGTTTCATTGAGCGAAAGAAACGAAAGTTTCATCGAGAAAGTTCCGACGAAATTGTAAATAAGTTATCAACAAGGCGCAAAAGATTAAATTTATTACTTTAAGCAATTAACATTTTTCTATACTCTTTGATCATTGTTTTCCTTACAATAAACAAATATTTTACACGCCTGTATGATTACTGAAATATTAGTAGAATACACTCCTCAATACACTCCTTACACTCCTGAAAATATACATATATATATATATATATATATAAACATAAAGAAATAGAGAAAATAAAATATTTAAAAATCCGAAATGCAAAATAAAGAGAATATATAATCATATTATTACTACTGATTATTTGAAGTTAATAGAAAACTTAGAATTAAGAAATTTAATGTTAAAAGGCTTACCCATTTACCATTTATCAATTAATAAAATTCTAAAATACTTTCTTTATGATCCCAATAAGTTTTGTTTAAAGATGTCAAATAACCTTTAGGTATGTTAACAGAATGGAAATGGGCTGTTTATGATTTTTAAAAAGCTTTATTTTTATAATAAGGAAAATTAAATAACAGTAGCGAGTCAACACATTTTTTTATAATTGATCGGTCAACTAAGCATCTACAAAAAAATTTTGTAACTATCCCCATAGACCAAACTTCAGCAATCTTCCGTAAAAAATTCTAAATCAAGAGTCAAAAAATAATAAATAACAATAATATAATTAAAGAATTTTTTCGCTTTACTTAAGAGGTTAAAATCTAAAACGAATAATATACAATTTCCCTACTTAATTATCAATCCAAAATTTTATAAAATTCCTATTAAATTTAGAACAATCACTTGTGGGTCTAATACTTACCTTACTAAACCTGAATTCATTTTCTCTAACTACTTAAATAAAATTATTAACAATATGATTAAAGAAGATTTTTCTTGGATTATCACTAATAATCAACTAATTTTAGAAAAATAATTAATTTTATTGCGACTTTTGATTTCCAGGATCTCTTCAATAGCATTCTTCTTTCTAAACTAAAAGATGTTCTTTTGAGTTATTGCTATGATTATAAAAAGAACTTTAATTGTGGTTCTGATAATTGGGAAATTCTAATTAATATTCGTCTTTTTAATAATTATCTTTACAATGGAAATCCTATTTTCATTCAAATTGATGGAATATCACAAGTATTTAATTTTTCTTCTCTTTTAACTAAATTACTTGTACACTATTATGAAGAAAATAAATTATACTCTTAATATTAAATTTGTTTTTAGATTTATTGATGATTTAATCATCTTTAAATTTTCCAGATTATACAATTTTGTTAAATAATATTTACCCCGAGGAATTTATCTAGCTTCGTAAACATGATAGTAATATTAATTTTAATATTTCGAAATTAAGTATTAAAAAGGAAGTAAATATCTGCATTGTTGATTTATACGATAATTTTTTTCTTTTAAATTTAGTATAAATAAACTAATTGCCAAGAATCCTAATGTTTCTAAAAAATATTTATTTAAGTACCATTTTTAATCACATAAATAGAATCCAAAGAAATTGTAATAATGTTTATTTATCGAAAAAACAAATAGACGAACTCTTCCAAAATTTGATTTTAAAAAAAAAACAGACAAAAAACAATGGATATTCAACTAATTTAATTAAATTCTATATCAAATCATTTAGTTAACTGTTGTAATTATTAATAAATTTATTGAAAATTTCTTTATTAACTAAATTTATATTTTTGCCATGTGCAAATCTAATTCTGACAAATTCGTGGTTAAAAATCTTCCAATACTAAATAAGGAATTTTTTAAGTTAAGAAAGGTATTAAATAGTTTTTTTTTCATTAAATGTCAATAATTTTTCTAAAATCATTAAAGTTTTATAATAAAAATTCGCTGAACAGCCGACTCAACTTTTGGGACTACCATTCCTTGTTATTTTGAACCCATCAATGTGGAAAGGAACTCTCAAATCAAGTATTGGGGAGAAATTTGTCTTCGTAAGAAAATTTTTGATGAAAGTAATCAACTGTGCACACATTTGCTGGAATTTAACCAGGCATCGAACCCGGGACACCTCATTGGAAGGCCTCTATTGCCTGAGCCACCACGACTCAAAGTATTCCTTCCAACGAGGATGGGATTCGAACAAACGTGAGAAGAGCCCACTAGATTAGCAGTCCATCGCCTCAACCACTCGGCCACTCTTCAGTATAATATTATTACCTTGCGCACATCCAGTTTCGGGCTAATCCAAGGTAACATACGAATCAATGCGCTTTTGCACTTCAGTAAGAACGTGATATAAAAGAATCCCATCATCCTCTATTTACTTTATTTTTATTTTTCGTTATCTGGCAAACTTGTTACGAAAATATTTTAAATCATTTTTGAAAAATGACGGTAAGTGTAAGTACATATGAATTTGATACAAGCTTTTTATAATACGTTTTGAGTTTTATTCTGTAGTTTCTTGAATTTTTATTTTCTATTTTTGCTTGATATGTTTTATTTTGTATTTCTTTCTTAATTTGTTCCATTTTCGTTTCAATTTTTTGGTGCTCCTCACACTATTGAATTGATATATTGTGCACAATATATCAATTCTATCATAAGCACAATATTAGTATGCACTCTTTTTTTTGCGGATATAATCGTGTGAGCTGATGATGAGATTATATCTTTTCCTTATTTCGTTTTCCAACTTTTTTATTTTTTTAAAATTCAAATATTTTAATATTTTTAAAAAACACTTTATTAATACTCTTTCTTCTTCTCTTTTCATAAAATCTTTATATTTTTTCCATGTTTTCTCTATACTTTAAACTTTTTTTATATATACTTGCAGTTTATTGCGCAGTAAACAAAACTCATTATTATTTTTCTTAAGTTTCGTCGTTAGTCTTTCTTTTTTATCTTTCTTTCCCTTATTGTGTTATCTCTTTCTCCCCCCCCCTCCCCCCCTCTCTCTGTCTATATATATATATATAATTTGCTGCTATGTACCATTACCATCGCTGTTTCGGACTTTAAAGTTCTGTTTTGATTTGCTGCGCAATAACTATACAACTTAGAAACTTAAAATTATGAAGACGTGTAGAAATAGGAGTTCTACGAAGCAATAAAAAGAAAATCGGAAATGGGTCGGTACTTGGATGGGCAAAAAGATCATCCTGGAAATAAAAAGGGCAATTAATGTTATACTTGTAGTGATTTGGAAACAATTTAAGCTTTCATTGTTTCCATTGAAATTTGAGTGTTCCAGTGAGTCAGAAAGTAGACTACACATGTCGTATGCGAAATACCATCGTCCCAAACACGAAGCAGAGTTCATAAAGACGTAGTAAAACTGAATAAAAATATCTATCACCTATCCAGTAAATGTGTTTAAAATGCCGAGTTTTTAAAATACAATTCACTTGCCTGACCATTTCGAAGAGCGAGCTTAATGCATGTTTTCAAGATTTGATTTCAAATTTCTTTCTCGGTGAAAGAACTTACTACTTTCCTTGAAGGCTTCACAAAGAATATAGTAATTATTTGAGAAGAGACCTTGTTCAGGTCGAGTTCGAGGTTTTGTGTGTGAGGAAAGGCTATTTCTTTATATATTCCGTTGTTTGTTGTGTGTCGGAGGTTAATAAACGCTGCCTGGGACGCAATCATTGCGAAAGAATAGTTTATTGTACAAGGTAGAAAGAATCGAATGAACTTTGAAAAGGATTCACTGTAAACCATAAAATAAGAACGATAAAGATTAAGGAAAAGAACAGGAGAGGGGGTGGCCTAAACATAATTCTATGTATAGTAATAAACTTTGTCTGTGATTAAAATTTATGTCTGT